CATCTTACCAAAGATGTGTCGGATTCGGGAGTCGGTTACAGTCAAAGAAGGGTTAGCACCTCTGAACTGCCCTTTCGGTACTACGTAATTTCCAGTTGTCTTTAATTAAGAAAATTATAATTTAAATTAGAAGGTAGTTTTAACTATTCGAATTACTTACCTCCGAAGGATTTGTAAAGTGTACCTTTAAAAGTCGAGAATGTGTTAGAGAAAAAAGGTAAAGAAAACAAATAAGATAATGAGAATAAAATAAAGAAAAAAAATGAAATAAAACGAGATAAAGAAAATAAAAAAATGGAGTGGAGATAAAAGTAAATAAAATAAAAATAAAGATAAAGAAAATAAAATAAAATAAAAAATAAAAAATAAAGATAAAGACAATAAATAAATGAATAAATAAAATGAAGATAAAGAAAAAAATTAAAAAAATAAAGAGAAGAAAAATAAATAAACAAGACAAGGAAAAATAATAGTAAAGAAATAATATATATATATAGTGATATTTAAATAAGAAAAAAAATATATATACACATCAAAATATTAATAAAACAAATAAAATATATATATATATACATAATAAATATTAATAAAAAAACTACCCCTATTACTTCACCGAAAGTGTGGGGGAAATTTTTGGTCAGAGAGAAAAAAAGAGGGCTCCTAGGAAACAAGCATGATATGTATTAGATATATATATATATATATATAAATAAGTAGGAAAAAAAAGAAAATAATAATAGGAATAAAAATAAAAATAAATAAATAAGATATATATAGTAAAAGATAAAATAAAAATAGAATAAACAAATAATGAAAATAAAAGGATTAAAATAAAAAAATAAAAAAAAATATAATATCGTATAAATAAAAAACAAAAAGAAATAAAATCAAAATAAAAAAAATAAAAGGATTAAATTAAAAGGGAAACAAAATTAGGGGTGAATTTAAAAGAAAGTGGAGGATTATAATTGATTTAGGGGGCCAAATTAAATATTTTAAAAATGGGGGGACCAAACAACAATTATCCCCTTTTGTGTTCAAAAACACGCGGGTCTGGTGAATTGGGTTGGGTCGGTGAACGGGTTTCATGGGCCATGTATAAAGGCCAAATTTTTTTCTAAAACTTTCATTTCTTCATTCCAAAATCGACAGTCCTCTTCCCCTTCTTCATTTTCTATCGGTATTCACACCACCGTAGCTTTCCAGATTCCGACGACCCCGCCGGTCGTCGGTCATCGGCGACGAAATCTAAAAAAAAATATTTTTAAAAAGCTTTTCTCCTGCCCGATCCGAAAATCCAACTTGTTTTTTAAAAAACACCTCGAGGGAGAGTAGATCTGAGATTAAAAGTCTCGGTCTCTCCCCCTATTTTCATCGGCGTTTTGGGTATTCTTCGAGTCAAAGGTAACATGCAAGCCAAAGAAAATCAAAACAAAGGTAAAAAACACCTTTTATTTCTCTGCTTTCGAACGATTACAAGACTTGTCCTTCTTTCGAATATTCGTTCTTTTCTTGTGTATTTTCTTTGTGTAATACTCGTAGTGATATTGTGCGTCCAATGTGTGTGTGCTTACATTAATTTATAGTATAAAAAAAGGCTATTTTTAGTGGTTGAATCCGAGTAAAACTCGGTTTGTTGTGGTTGCTTGAAGTCCTACTAACACACGTTTGTGGTGGTGTTGAACTTGCAAGAAATGGTCGGAAAAAGCGAAGGACCTTACTTGCGGCACCAAAGGGAAAACAAGGGTTATGGAAACCCTAGCACCAGTTCGGGTCGGGTGCTTCAGCGGATCCGGTTCGGGCTCCGTTACGGTTGCAACTTCAGTGGATCGCACGTTGGGCTTGCTGACTTGGGGTGTAGTTTATTTGTATTTGGGCCTGTAATAAGAATGCAACAAATAAATATTTGTACATGTATCATATTGTAATAAAAATAATAAAATGATAATAATATATATAAAATCGGACGAAATGCGTGTCGACAGACCTTATATTTAATTTTAGTATATTTAGTACAATATCACTCGTGGATGCATTTCAAAATTTGAAGGATGCATTTCAACATATTTTAAAATAGTATATTTTTTAATTATTTACTTTGATTTTATTTCTAATTTTATACTTGTTATTTCATAGAAATGATAAAACTAATATGTATATTTGATGTTATCATTTATATTTTTAAAGTAAATAAATAATAAAAATAAAACGATATAAGATCCTATTATACAAGATAAAAATCTTTTAGTTTTACTTGGATTTAGGACTGTTTGATGAGCGAAAATAGGTGAATGAGATTAACAGTAGGGAATGAGAAGGTATTCACTGAGAAAAAAAATAAGGAGTCAATCTCACCCATATATTTTCACTCGTCTAATGGTCTTAAATCTATGTAAAAACTAAAGAGTTTTACATTGTGTAAGTGGATCCTAACCCAAATAAAATTATGTATAAAATTTAAAGCCGTTAAAAAGATTCAATCTTTGTTAAAATTAAATTCTGGCACCATCCATGATCATAAATCTCATGATAGATTAAGGGAAATTTTATTATTATTTAAAAAATACATTTTTATTTGTAATATTATTATTTAGGTTAGAGTATGCCCAAAGACCAATCATATAATGATTGTAATGATACATTTTATTTACCGATTTTATTGAATAAAGACATTGCCACTATTATTTTCAATTATGTATCTGTGTTTAACATAAACTGAAAGATAATAAAATCCATATAAGTATTATTATGGGCATGAACAATAATAATACGCTTAAGACTAACATATTATTTATTGATGACAATGAGTTGTCATTGACATAGATATGTCATAATTGATACATGATTATATTGTTAGAGAACAATGCATTGGATTGACCCACAATAAGCATATGTCTTGGATTATTATGTGACGGTCATAACATTGTTCATGGTAATTACTATATGTATGATCCTCAGACTTGAGATCAATGCTATCACAACATATATTGTTTTATGTTTTGATACATTTAAACATGATTCGTAACTGGTAGCATTATAAAACTGTTATTGAATATATCTCGCTATATGTAGTGAGGTGTGTATGATTAAGATATGATTTGTCCTTCCTACATAATAGTAAATATATCACAAGCCACTTGATTGAGTGAGACTAGAAATGCATGACCATGCTCGAATAAATTGATATGAGATATCACAAATTATTCATTAATTATAGTCTACTCTAGATATCAAGAAGCAATAGATGGACTATAAAAGTGTGACTATTCCAAGACTTGTGCCTATTCTAGATATAAAGGACAGAATGATGTAATACATAAAAGAGTTAATCACAAAGATGATATATCAAACCATAATTTCTTGTAACTTAGGTGACAATGATATATTGCTAGATGTCACTCATTGTATGTAGTATTAGAATTGTTCTAATAATTACTACTAACGTTACAAGAACCTACAGGGTCACACCCTAGGATTGAAATGAGCAAAGATGTACAATTAGCCGCTGATGTCTTTGCTGTTTTTCAAAGAACCCACTGTAAGTATTCATATTTTTCCTCCCGATTTTGATTTTTCGTACTTGGATTACTGGTGAGACTGTCGAATTTTGTTTCTGCTGCACCATGAGGTGCGTCGACAGACAAAACAATTTGAACTTGTGATATTTACTAAAAAAAAAAATCTAAGTTCTCCTTACGTTAAACCAACGACATGTAATTCACAGGTTTATGAAACAGAAACCCTAGTTTAAAAGACTTGCCACTAAGTGTTCATTGTTTGAATGAATGGTGAATATTGAGATTCAAATTTTATATTTTATTTAAAATCTTTTAATATGTGTTGGGTTCAAAAATTACTTCTATTTAAATTTAATTATAGTGTTTTGAAAAATCAGTTCGATTATTAATCGAGATAACTCACTATTGATTAAATTAATCAAAATTTTAAATTTTTTAATCAATAATTGGACTAATTTTTTTTACAAAAATAATTAATCGAATCAATCTAACTTTAATCAATTCGATAATTTTTAATTTAATTGAAGTTTATGACATTTTTCTTTTGGTCAAGGAGTTTGATGGGATAAACATTTGTAATCGGTGAAAACTTTAAATTGTACACGTTTTTGAAATTGTTGGATTAATTGAATTTAAAGGTCAATATTATCTATTTTTTTGTTCGTATAAACTTTCTTATTTATTATAGATCTCAATTATTCATTTTTTATTTATCTAAATATTTAAAAATATATATCCAAAATTGAGGTTAAGGAAAATAAAAGGAAAAAGAAATCCATGCTTTCCCCCTTATTGTGTACCCAAAATTGAAGAAGAAATTGGATTCAAGTTTCTTGAGTCATTAGTGGGTTGTTGGACGGTTAGTTGGTTTATATATGATACATAATATTTATTATTAATTTTAGTTAATTCATAACTTTTAATCGAAAAAACCAATAATTTCAAATATCCTTTAATCAATCCTCGAATAAATTAATTTTGGTGGCTATTCGTAATTAAATTATTTTTATTTCGTTGATTAATTTAATTTTAAGCACTCTTAGTTTTTGACGGTTAAAATTATGATAATATTTTAACTGTAAAATTAATCGGATTCCATAATAACCAATTATGATAATAATTATTTGAATTATTTTCTTTTCAATTTAAATTGCGATTGCATTTGTATTTTAAAAAAATGATAAGGATCCCGTTAAACGACTTCAGTAGTAAAAGATAGTATTCTTTTTTTTAGAAATCTGGAATTTAAACATATACATTATCAATGGTAGAAAGAAATTCTGATTATATATATTGCCTTGTAATATCTTAATTTTACATGTCCACTGATATAAAGTTACATGCATGTACCTAATTTTTTATAGTCAAATTTGCCATCCCCACACCTTTATAAATACAACAGCACAAAATGCTCTAAAACTTATATGCAAAGCCTCTTCGAAAAACAGCACTAAAATGGAAGAGCTTCTTTGATATTTTCCAATGGCCTCCGGCTCAACCAAAGACCACGTCGTCGTTTCCGGCAATAATACTCTTACTGTTCCTTTGGACGGACGATATTTCGACCTCGACGATGCCATGATAATGCCGGAGGATCCCACAGCCACAGTTCAAACAGTCATGCGTATGGTTTCTGCCATGCCAACGGGTAATTACGCGACCGGGAATTGCTCGATTTGCATGGAGAGCTTATGTCCGTCCAATGGTTCAAGTGCTTCTAGGCAAGTCTCCTGCGGACATGTTTATCACCATGATTGTATTACCGATTGGCTCTTGAACGGCAACAGTTACTCTTGCCCCCTTTGCCGCCACCAAATTTCCCGATGAGTCTGATTTTGAATTATGACAAGTTTTAGGGTTTTTAAAAAAGTCATTGGTGGTTACCGGCTGGTAGAAAACAGATAAGAGTGAAAAGTGTGTAAGAAAATCTGAGGAGAGTATTTAAGCACGAATAAATGGCGTTTTATTGATTAGAGAAACGTGTTTACAAACGGTAGAGTGAAAAGTACTTTTTAATGCTTGAATGGTATTATGCACGTTATTCTATTATTTGATAATTTTTTAAAAGTTATTTAGTATAAATATGAAATATAATAAATAATATTATATAACATGTATAAATATCAAATTGTTAAAGAATTATATTATTGTTAATATTTCTAGATCATATTTAAGATCGATTACTCTAGAAAAATTTCATTCTAAAAAGTCTCTACACCTCATAATCTAGAGTAATTAATGAGGACAACAAATGACAATTATGATATCACATGACAAAAATATATAGTTTAAAGGTATATTGGATCATTAAATTGATGTGTCATCTACTTATCTCTTATCAAAGTGTCAACAGTCAATTGTGTCAATCTCTCAGTCGAAGCTTAATTTTGGGCTCAACTGTTGAAATGATTGGGTTAGAGTCGTCACTGACTATTTTAAAATAGATTTAGGTGGGTCGGATACTATCTTACCTGATATGCGTTTTATCAGAAACGTGTCGGGTTCGGAAGTCGATTACGGTCAAGGAAGGATTAGCACCCTTAAACCGTCCTTTCGGTACCAATTAATTTGTCGGTTGTCTTAGTTGCGAAAATTTAAAATTTAAATTAAAAAAAACCCGATTCGAGTTACTTACCTTCAATCGATTAAAATTTCTCTGAAAAAGATCAAAAACGTTAGAGAAAAATAATAATAATAATAATAAAATATTAAAAAAATCAAATAAAGATAAAAAAAAAGGAAAAAATAAAAAATTAAATAAGTTGAAAAAAGTCAAAAAAAAAAGTCAAAAAATGATAAATAAAATTGAAGAAAAAAATAAAAAAGAATAAAGAATGACAATTTAAAAAGAAAATAGTAAAGGAATAAAAAAAGAGTTAAAGTTTGAAATCAATAAAAGAAAAAAAAAGAAAAAAATAATAATGATAAAATAAAATGTTGAACTATGTTTCGATATAACAATTTAAGGCAAAATAGTTTTTGGACTTGAATTGAATTTACAAAATGTATTTGGACTTAATTGAATTTATTCAAAATTTACAAAAATAATTCAAAGTTCTTTTAATTTAAAATTGAGCACAAAAATATTTTTATGAATAGTAATTTACTATTTGAACAGTAAATCACTGTTTGAACAGTAACCCGAGGCTCAAAAATTCCAGTATGTAAAAGGGGAATCGATTCCCCCCAAGGGGGTACCGATTCCCTCACTGTTCATCAGCCCAACGGTCATAATATTTGAATATTATGAAGGGATATCGATTCCCTATGAATGGGTACCGATTCCCCCCATTCTGGGCAGCCTATTTTTTGCAGAAAAATCATTCCCAAACGGCTCCAAAACATCCCCAACGGCTAGATATGACTTCAAACACATTCCAAGCTATAAATACAAGCTAAGGACACTTGAAGAAGAAAGAGAACAACTATTTAAGTAATCAAACACAAGAGAAGAGTTTTTCATTCTTATTTCATCTTTCTCTTGTAAATATTTTGTTCTTGTGAGCTTAATTCTTGTAAACACCTACCTTAGAGAGGTTTTATTGTTTACATCTTTTATCCTTTTGTAAAGGGGAAAGGTTCTAGCTTAGCCCGTGTAAAAGCTAGGGAAATGTTCTAGTTTAGCCCGGAAAAACTAGGGAGTTGTAAGGTTATCTCTTTGTCCTCAAAAGAAAGAACAAATTAGTGAATTTGTTGGAAAATCCTTAGTGAGGAGCTAAGGTAGTGGACGTAGACTTTGATTGAGAAAGTCGAACCACTATAAATCGCTGTGCAATTCTCTATCTTTCAATCTCCTTACTCCCTAAACACAAAACCGTTCCGACCCCTCTTTGCAAATCGTTCCGGTTGTCGTTTCGAGCTTCCGAAAATCCTAACATAAAACTTAGAGGATCAGATTGAAACAAATTGGAATTAATGGGTTAAATTGGTATTAGAAAAATGATATGCAAAATAAAAAAAATAAAAAGTGTGGGGTCAATTCACAAAAATGTAAAAATATAAATCCGGATCAAATTGATTGGATTGAAAATTCTGAGGCCAAATTACAACTAGAGACTGAATTGTAAATCGATTCAAAGCTACGGGGACTACGGAGAGGATTTAAAAAATCTCTATTTTCACAATGGTCCCTTGTATATAAATGGGCCAAAAGCATCCCATTCCCTTCATTTTCACATTTCTGCCCAAAACTCTCCCCTGAAACGAGAGAGAACTCTCTCAACTAGCCCTCTTCGGGTGATATCCGACCACCGCCTGGTGGCTCATTTCACTGTGCCGTCGTAGCTCCGGCCAAATTAGAACTGGAGACTGAATTGTAAAGCGATTCAAAGCTACGGGGACTACGGAGAGGATTTAAAAAATCTCTATTTTCACAATGGTCAGCATCCCATTCTTTTCATTTTCACATTTCTGCCTAAAACTCTCCCCTGAAACGAGAGAGAACTCTCTCAACTAGCCTTCCTCGGGTGATATCCGGCCACCGCCTGGTGGCTCATTTCACCGTGCCGTCGTCGCTTTGGCCCCACCGGTGGCGGCCGGAAAGAACCTGAGATCACCAAAACTTTCGTGCCAGTCCAGTGAGCCCAAGACCAACGTCCAAATCCCAAAATAGACCCAAATAAACGCAGATCTAAACGAATACCACTCGGCACATACCCTTTTCCGGTGACTTTTACGCTTCCGAGGGCTCTTCCCCTTCCTACGCACTCCGAGCCTTCTTACTTCTCGCCTTTGGGCACGCTTTGGTTGTATGCTTCTTTGATTCTCTCACTCGTTTCTGATTTTTTTGGATATGCTTTACTCGGTTTCTTGGATGCCTCTGGTTGTTTTGTATTTCTTGGTTTACTGTCCTTGTCGTTGATGTGTTTAGTTCGATTTGTTGGCCGATTGTTGATGTGGTTGATGGTTCTATGTTGGTATCGTGGTTCCTTGGGCCAGCTGAATTTATTTGCTTGTAATGGCTTTGGGCCACATGTAATATTGGACCTGTGAAATGTAATGAAACAATTAATAAATATAAATATATATTATATAATATAATTTACAATCTGAATACATTATATAATATAATAACAAGTTATGGACGAAATGACGTGTCTACACTCTCTAATCCTGAATCCGAGAAGCTGTTTAACATGAAAAGAAACACTTTTACTGACGTCTTCATCTCGTTTTTTTTTCTTCATACTGTTTCCATCTGTAGTTTAAGTTTCTGGCTTAATCATCGCCATTTTTTCACAAGTATTCTTTTTGGTAAGTTTCTTTGTGATGAATGTAGCTTGGAAATTTCCCGGTTTATGTTTCCCATGACAGATTGCATACTTAATTATAGACGAAAACCCTCGTATTCGAAACCCTCGGTTGCTCCAACCAAGTACCATGGTCCAAAGGTGTGTTGAAGATATATATAAGCTGAGTCCGACTAACGCTGATTTAAACTACGGGTGTAAACGAGCCGAGTCGAACTCGAGTATTACTGAACTCGACTCGAACTCATAATCATTTATAGTAAGCTCGACTCGACTCAAAAACTCTCAAACTAAAAATTATCAAACTCGACTCGAACTCGAAATATAATATTAAAACTCGACTCGAACTCGAAAAGGCTCGAACTCAAAAAAATTTCAAGAACTCAATTGAAGCTCGAGACTCGAACTCGATTCAAGCTCAATTTTAAGCTTGATTCAAGTTCAATTTTAAGCTCGATTCAAGCTCGAATCAAGCTCGATTCTTAGCCAAAAGGCCGATAAAAGTATGTTTTGAACTGCACAAGCCCGCTTGTTTTATATGTAGCTTATCCTGTCATCTTATAGTATCTCGACTATGTGGGATATGAAACACAAAAGGAAACACTTCCAAATTTCTGCAAAAACCCAAATCAGACACAAGAACCCTCTCGTCTTTCTTCTCAGCCCCTGCAAAATATAAAACACTTCCAATTTTCTGCAAAAAAGTACCCACATTAGATCATAAAAAACCCTCTTATTATCCACTCAAAATTAATCAAAAAAGCCACTATATTATTATACAAGAATTGACGGTGAAAACCTTCTTTGGCTTCTGGTTTTGTTCCACTTCAACTGTCTGCTGAAACACAACATGCTTTATCACTGTTGTTTTTCTTGGCATTGAAAGTAGCGAAGATAACTAGTGGATTGAAGATTTTTCACGGGTAGTACTGGGATTGCATTTAGTTCGAGTGCAGCTGAACCTTGTTCAATTTCTAGGTGCAACAATGTAACATCCCAAAATACGGGTTAGTGACCACAATTGTAAAATTTCAAAATATGATGATTAAAGTATAATAGTTTAATAGTTTAATGATTTGTTCGGAAATATTTCCTAAAAGTTTATAGTAATTATCCAAAGAATTAAAGGGCAAAATGGTCATTAGACTTGAAAATTATAATTAAATGATATATATATATGGATAAGGATGGGAGATTTTCCAGAAAAATCTCTTCTCTCTTTTCTTCTTCATTTTCTCTTCTCCACGTGTGAAGCCAAGCAAAGGTGAGTTTTCTTTTGAACTGATTAGGTGCTGAAATTTAAGTTTAGTTTTGATTATTAGATGCTAAGTAAGATTAAGGAAGGATTAATTTGCTTTAAAACAACAAAATGAAGAGTTTATGAGGATTTAAAGATTTGGAGTTTTTGAATGAAATATCGAAATAAAGTTTATATTGAGAATTGAAAGTTGAATTTGACTTGTCATCAAGTTAATTAAGGGATAGGAAGTGTTAGAATAGGAATTTGAACATGTTGCAAAACTAGTATAATTTTTGAGATTACATAGGAATGACTAGATTTGAAGTTAAAGAAGTGATTATGGAATAGAAATAAGTTTAAGTATGTGTATTAAAGTTAGGAGTATTAAAGGAAGTGAAATAGGAAGGTTTGAGTTGAAAATTGATGATTTTCGAGCTTAGAATACAATTTCTGGGTAGAGGGAACCGATACCCTATGAATGGGAATCGATTCCCCCTCTTGAACGAAAAATTCCAGTATGTACAGGGGGTATCGATTCCCCTGGGGGGGTATCGATTCCCCCTAAATGAAAATATAGAATTGATTCATTAAATCGGTTTAAGTTATTAACATCAAGTTTAAAGTTTAGGCTTCTGATAGTTGTTTTGAAATGATATATTTATGTAGATATTGAGCCTAAACAAGTTCCGGAATAATCAAAGGATTATAATCGAATCAAAGCAAGGCTAAGGTGAGTGCAATTTAAATTGTACTTATGTGATTGATCAAACATTGGCTTGCGATGAGTCAATGATAGAGTTACTATGGTAAGAGGTAAATTATATAATGTTATGTGATTACTCTGTGTGCATTAGTACATAGAAATGGATGTATGTTTATATGTTACATGATTTACATGCTTACATGAAAATGCAACATATGATATTAGATATGTGCTTACACATACATTTGATATGTGATAGAAGAGAAGGAATATGTGATTATGATATCAAGGATTACACGTACATGTGATACGTGACTGAAAAGAAAAGATATGTGGTTATAAGAGAAAGAATATGAATAAGTAATGTGAACGGTCATAAATGATAATGCCCATGTTATGTGATATGAGAGCTAGGGTATAGTTGGCATGCCAAGGGTCGAGGGTTACCTATGTTCTTCGGGACATATGGACTGTTTACCTATGTTCTTCGGGACATATGGACTGTTTACCTAGGTTCTTCGGAATCTATGGACTGGTCCTTCGGGACATTGATCGAGCTGTGGTGACAGCATATGTGTGCACAACCTCAATGTACTCACATACCTTAAGTTCTCAAAAGTATACATGGGCGAATACATGGTCCTTACAGAGAGTAAATAAATAAATTGATTTGTTACTATGTATGTTTGGTTGTGAAGTAGTATATGTGTTCCATGGTATGTAGAGAAAGGTTCGATATATGTATTTATATGATAAAAAGGTACTAAAAGTACTTGTATTATCTCATGTTATCATGTATACTGAATTATATGTGACTCGATTGAATGTTTATATTTATGAGAAATGCATTATTATTATGTTTTTGCTTCACTAAGTCTATGACTTAGCGTGTAAGTGATTTACACGTAGGTACTGAGAAGCAGAAGGATCAAAGCTAAGTTCATAGTAACAACATATCTCTGCTCAAAGACCAGATCAGAAGTAAATTACACAGTATGTATTATTATGTGATAAATAGGTTGGCATGTAAATAAAGTAGGTAAATTAGGTATTTATGCTCTGATCGAGTTTTGTAATATTCTAAACATATTTATATAAGTACAAATGCAAAGAAATGAACTGTTAAATTTTTACGAGTGTTATGTACAATTTACGAAAATCACTGTAGCAGGTTACTGTATTACTGTTCATATAGTATTTCACCGTTCATAAACACGTTTTTATCTCCAAATTTTATATCAAACATAATTGAATAATACATGATTGTATTTTCTTAACATCAATTCAAATGTCCAGTTATTTTACAAGAATAAAGGTTTTGAAAATGTCAATGTGACATCTCGGACTCGTATCCAGGTCGGGTATGGGTTGGGGTGTTACAAACAATGTCTGGTCTGAGGCAGCCTCTTCTGAATCTGTTGAAATGCTATTAAAATCTGTCAGACATGACGAAAGTATTCTCAGTCAAACTATCAAGAAGGGAATTTCATAAATATCAGTCTGTCTGGTCTTAACGAGCTTGGGGGATAACAATACGAATCGATGAATAATGTCCTGGCTTACGCCCCATGGCTATTTATTCTTTCGACTCCACTGTTTTTCATATTAAACTCGATTTCCTTTGTGCAAAACATCTGTGCAAGTAGAGTTTTTTAGGGAGCCAAGATACCACACATTTGAAAAATGATACTGTTGATGAAAATGTTAACAGTTTAGCAGGGAAAATGTTGATTTGAGCCAAGGAATTCACTTTGATGGTGAGAACTTGATTGAAAATGCAGTTGCAAGTGTTACCTCAGATGTGCAGAAGCATTCAGTTTCAAACATGCAATCTAATAAAGATGAACATGTTGCTGGAAATATTACACCTACTGTGGGGAGCCTTCTAATAGGACATTGAAAGAGATTTCTGACCTCCAGACGGTGGAAGAGTGCAATGAGAGCTTGCCTGTAGAAAGTCCTCGGCCGACTAGGGGTAGCCCGTGTTTTAGAAATGGAGTATTAGCATTTTAGGACCTGTTATATTTGTAATTTTCTGATTTTGTCATTAATCAAGATTTACGTTTTTATGATTTAGGTTGTTAATTTATTTTTATTTTATGTTTTGATCACCGTTTGTTTTGATAATGGACCTTTTGATTGATTTGAGCAAGTGTGATTTATTAGTTTATTTACATAAAAACTCTTGTTAATTTCATTAATTTCATTTTGCATAATTTGTATGTTACCTTCATGTGCATAACTTAATCCCCATCACATAATCGGATTAAGGGTTTAGGGCTTAGGTCTTTGGGTTTAGGGTTTATAATTTAGGGTTTATGATTTATGATTTATAGTTTAGAGTTTAGGGTGTAATCTAACATGTGCTTAATTAAATGAGCTTTTATTTTTCTTTTAGTACCCTATCATATAATCGGATTAAAGATTTAGGATTTAGAGTTTAGATTTAAGATTTAGGATTTAGGGTTTAATCTAACATGTGCTTAATTAAATGTGCTTTTATTTTTCTTTTAGTAATATATAATGTAACAATTGGACTTGAGTTGCTTAATTAAAAAAATTAAAAATTGAGGGTAGTTGTATTATAGAATTTTTAATATATTTTTGAAATTTTATAATTATCAATTTTAATAATTTTTTTATAATGTAATTTTAAAAAATCTAAAATTATAATATAACATCTTTTCGAGCTGCTCACGAGCTTTTCGAGTCGAATATCGAGTAGCCCGTTTTGGCTCGTTAAGAACTCGAGTCGAGCTCGAGTCGAGTCTATTCGATCCGAGTATTTATCGAGCCTTGATCGAGTCGATCTCGAGTAGCTCGCGATCTGTCTCGTCTCATTTACAGCCCTAATTTAAACCATCTAACTCCTTCATGTATTTCTTTCTAACCATGTTTCCTCCTATTCGATGCTCCACGTACTACGTTACAGGGACAACCATGCTGATTTAAATGTATACAATCAACGTCTCCTTCGCCATACATCGGCATATCGATTTGGATGTTGTTTGTATCATACATTACAAAGTCTTAGCCTATTTATCCACACACACAAAAAAAGTCTTAGCATAATTACGCGCATGTAAATTGTATTACGTCGATACGAGTTATCATACAAATATTAATAGTGATGCCATTATTTTGAAAATAACCAAGATTTAACATGTTTGGAATTCTAATCCACACAAGGTTTTTTTATGTTCATCGATATTCAATTTATTTGTCGATTAATTCAAATCAAATACTTTAAGTACTTATATAAAATAGATTATTTCAATTTAGTTTCTTATATTTATAATGTCAAGATTTGACTCCTTGATCTTTATTAAATAATTTAATATTTCATCCCATTAGATCAATTAATTTTTTAATATTTTTAAAATATAAATTTGTTTTTTATGTATTCTTTTTTATTTTTAAGAGGACAACTTTTTTTACCCAAAAAATGAACACTTTTCTGCTCAAGAAATAAAGTGGATAATCTGATAATAGTATAGATGATCAACAAGTTAAGCATCAAATAATGGAAACGAGCTCATGCTATTTCATTAGACGATGTAGAGAAACGAGTAAAAGTCGTACTGTTTGAAGGTCACCTCTATATGAACAGAACGAATATTATCATTCACAGTCGAATTACTTACTTTCGATCTACAACATGCTTGCTGGCTTCTCGTTTCCGATTTTGTTATTCCGGTTTCCGAAGTGAACTTCTAATTTAGGAAAGAAATGATAGTATATTGACAGAAAATCGAGAGATAGCAGTTAGCAGCCGGTCAATGAATCCGAGTTTCAGAAATACAACAAAATCTAAATCTGGTCCTACTACTAGTTCTCAATATAAAAAATGAAACCGACTGATTTTAGATGTTTGTCTTCTTGGATCATTCCATGTATGCCTGCAAAAGAAAAAAAAAAGTATACAAGCCTTACAGGTAGTAAATCAAACATTCGGAGAATCCTCGGCTGGAGCTACGGTGCATAACCCCCCCCCCCTCCCCGGGATTAGGGTAAGTTTGAGTTCTGACGACCCATAGATTCTGCAAGTTCCTTAGCAGCAAAATTGTCCGCTTGTTCCTACAGACCACATTTAATGCAACGATTAGTTGTGTGATAAGCCCTCATTGGCCTAAAGTTGGAAACAGATGTCAATTCCTACAATCAACTGTTCAAATGATCATTTTCCGAAAGGTCGGATAGCCATACCTGAAGGCGATGTAACAAGTACATCAAGAAGAGATGTACGAACACCTGCATATTTTTTTTTTTTTACCAAATGGTTTGTTGTAGAATTTAATCCATCTATGTAACAGATTACAGCAAAGACGCGGTGAAGTTGTTCTTACGAGATAGCATAGCAAGATTATTCGAGCGGCAGGATATCGCAAAAGAAATCTCGTGGCCCTGACGGATACTGAATCCAGTAATTTTGCAACCTTCTGTAACTGCACGAGGCAGGTTGAAACGCGAGTCGGAATAAACAAATGGGATGGTAAGTAGGTTTTGGGATATAAGAATACCTGTATGCTTGCAGCAGCCAGGTGACGGTGATGTACGGGAAGAGGCCTGCAATCATTAACTTGATAAGGAAAACTTGAAAATATCAAAATTAACCACATCAGTAATATTCGTGCAGGGGGAGCGAAGAATGTCGGATGAACAGGCAATAATATCTCATTTTGCAACCTTCAGTTTAATTGGTTAATTCAATTTAACCGACCATTTGCTCGCCCCTAAAGGAAATATGTAAATATGATCATATTTCACAAATCATGTTTCCTCAAAAGAAAAACAATCTGAAAGAGAAGGTAATCATATTCTTACCAGCTAATAAAGACCAAAAATCCCAGCAACCGATAAGAATCTAAAACTTTCAGATAAAGGGTGCAAGGATTCTAATATGGAGTAAAACTAAAAAGCTTAACATACTCAAGTGCTTTGATTTCAGTGTCTTCCTCCCACACATAAGATGCTCGACGAGGAACTCTACTTCTTTCTACTTCAACCTGTTGATTGTAACGGTACATCAAAAGCAAAAAAAAAAAAAAAGGATATTCACCAACAAGAAATACATAGCCAGTCTTGCAGAAGAGAAATCACTAGACCTGTGCTTCTTGAAGACGTTTTATTTCCTTCTCGAACTGGAACTCAGCGGCAGCTTTTTCACTAGCCATAGTTTCTAACTGTGTTTGCTTATGGTACTACAGAATGGAGTAGCGACAAGAAGTCAGCACAAACAAATAGATGTTACGAGAACAAGTGAAAAAGTAAACCTCAGATTTCTATTACCAAAAGGTCAGTTAATTCTCGGTAGCGTTTCTCTAGCTCCATGTGCTCCTGATAGTAGGAAACAACATTCATAAGACAATGCTTGGGTGGATCAAAATATACAACTGAATTTACCATGAATAAATACACTTCACAAATTTGCATATAGAAAGAACTAGGTTCCATTGCATTTTCAGACTAGCAAGAAAACTCAATACCTCAGATAGTAGCAACATCAACTGAGTGTCACAGGTTCTAATTCGGGAATTCTAATATGACTTCAGCGTGGGGGTATGCAATGGATGTTTTCTACAGCTGAAAGTTTGTGGGAAATCCAGCTCATTCACTCAAGTACAATGGGCACGAGTACATGACAACTTTAAGGGAAAGTCAACAAAATTAAGCTATGAATACAACAAGGATATATTGTTCCCTAATCACTTGCGATACACACCAAGATGCAACAACTTCGAGGAATTGGTTGAACCCAAACATCAAGAGAACAAAGTCATGTAACTTGGCAGCTGATATACAGCTAGCTAGAGCGGACAAGCAATAAAAGTTACGGTTCTACCAGATCTAAGTTCAGCAGTCACATAAACACTTGCAGTTTATATACTGCAACCATACCATCGATAAAGTCATAATTCATTTCTGATTAGAACATACTGAACAAGGTGCATGCATACATGTGTTTGAAGTAAGGGGAACAGATGAATAAATTTGGACATTACTTGGGGTGAATAATGCTCAGCATCCCTCTTCATAGCAGACATTTCAACCCTCATTTTCTGCATTTCAGCCTGCAGCCAGACAAAGAGGTACAAATCCATAAATCAGCCAGCAGAGAAACCAGAATAATCTCACTATTATGTTACTGTACAGGAAAGAGGAAAAAAATTTGATACTTGCCTCTAATGAAGAGAGCTTGCTCTCAGCGTCTCTTTGACCACTGCGCACACGCTCTACTTCCTCCTTCCATGCCTGCATTTGTGAAACCATTTTTAAGTCATTGCTTTGATATTTACTACAGTTGATGCAACAGTTGAAGGCCGTATATCATGCCTGCAACGAGATATTAAATGTAGTTTGAACTTTCGAACTTCAGACTGTTCTTAATGACATAAAAACCCACATCTCAGTAGATTATATTAAGCATATCCCATAAGTAGGTGCTTTTTATTGCCTGGTTTCGACTGTATGGAAATGGTCCAATGACATCCTCAATATAAAACTCAGAGTTACATCCTCAGTTCATCAAATTTACCTGAGCCATTTGATTTGCGTCTTCTGGGGACTTCTTTTGTCCTCGACGAGCGCGAGCTTCCATCTCTTGCAATTCTTGATTTAAAGTTGCACATTCAACCTGATAGCATATGAGGTAAATTTTAAGAGGCTTTTTATTTCATATTTTGCTCAGTCAAAGAGGTGAACTTTCATGTAAAGCACTGTTATCAGTCAGTTTCATATACCTCAAGATGTGCCACCTTCTGCTCAAGCTCTGTAGCTTTTGCCGTCCTCTCATCTGCAACCCTCTGGACAGTGAACAAGAAAGTATTTACAATGCGTGTTTGAAATATAGAGAGAGAGCCAAATGATACACCTGTGCTGAAATAGGAAGGGGCACCAGCTTTGCTTTAAAAAATTAGTTGTATTTTGAAATCCAAATTGTAGATGGCAAATTAACTACAGGACAAACTGTTGGTCGTTTGATTTAAAAGAAAATTGATGGAACATAAATTAAACCAAGGCATGATACCATAAAGGTGAAATGAACGGCAGTAAACTCATAAAGAGCTCAATTCAAACAAGTTTAGCAACAATGAAGGAATCTGAAAGACAACAGTCAACATAAAACTACAGTATTAATAAATATTAATCTGAAAATGAGAAGTCAAAATGCCTTTGAGATTACTGTATCCACTATCCTAATTATCAAATTCAAGTGGATTGCCTTTTTTTGCCACTTCAGTATTTGAAAGGCATGCAAATCCATTAAAAAGATTGTGCCTTTTTTTTCCATGTTCTCTCAGAGAGTCATGACAAATGAGATTGTCCTGATGTACCATATTACAGATCATAGAAACACTAGCACCCAAGAATTTAGAGTGCAAACATCCGATATAAACATATTTTTCTTAACAACCATGTATTGCCAAGAAATAAGTGTCAAAAGAGAAAAGCTTATCAATAAAAATGAGAATATGTTCGCAATTGCAAATGAAAATTTCCTGTATAATGATATTTAGAAATCCAAAATTGACAGAACTTACCGAACATATATAAAATGCAAAGTTTCCTCCCCATCGAGGCATTAACCTGAGCCATCTAAGACCCACTTAAAAGAGAATGAGGACGAGACTAATCTAGAAAGGCCAATATTGCGTTCAACTCACAGAATATTTTTGCAAATGAAAATTCCCTGAATAATAATATTTAGAAATCCAAAATTTACAGAAATTCACCAAACAGATAATAAATGCAAGTTTCCACCACATCAAGGCATTATCTAGAACCAACTAACATCCACTTGAAAGAGACTGGGGAAGGGACTAATCTTGATAGGCCAATATTACATTCAACTCAGGTTTTTTGTTTAATATGCAAGTATCAAGCAGAACAAGAATATTATGCACGCAAATAAATAATGATTTTGCATGGAACCAAAAACAAAGAATCCTCGCATTACCTGGATTCTAGCAAGAGCAGTGGATGCCTCTACCGCTTGATGTTCCAATTCCACTTCCCTTTCCATTGCAGCCTGTTCCAAAAAATAGAGATTATTAGAGTGGAAGATAAAATCCAAAAGTAAATAAATCAGTGTTGCAAATATGGACCATTTTTGTAGCATTATGAGCTGCACGTTCTTCTTCTGCTCTCCTTTCTGCAGAAGTCAGCTCCTCACGTAGAGCCTAAGAAAGAAGTATATGAATAGATCAACAACATTATAATAATATAATAGCTTATATACATTTGTTGTGAGTGAATACACATACAAATGCACATGCAAGCAAGAAAGAACTAATTGGTTTACCTGCAGCATCCTTGTCTCTGTCAATTCCCTGTTTCTCATTATAGACTCCATGCTTGCCTGATGGTATAAAATAAAAAGTACTAACAAACCTCAGATCAGCAGACACAAGTTGAGAGAACATGCTGATTGCAAACTAAAACAAAGACAATGTTTAAATGTAGAGGCTAAGCAAAGGAGCAAACACTACGTAGGAGAGAGATACAGAAGCAGACATGCATATCACAATTTGCTTAATATGTCAGCAGGAACTCGTGAATGGGCTGATCTTTTGTTTCTCTATCATAAGAAAAGCATGGCTGACGTAAGTAGCAGGATCTATACCTTTCTATTTAGCTTCTAAAGCTATTAACAGTCAGGTATACATAAGTGATAGAAACTATGGCTGTTACGTTAAACTACATAAATCCACCCACTAAATCAAATAATTGCAAGCCCTGTGTTTTTTTTTATAAGAAGCCCTATGTATATTTCATGCAACTTGAAAATTGTTTCCGTAATTATTTTAGTCGGTAATAAGGTCTGGGAGAACATAAACCACAGTTCTATGATCTATTAAGCAGATACCGCATTTTATGTAAGATACTTGGAACAAAGGGAGTCAAACCTGCAGTGATGCCAGATTCCCTTCAGATAAGGCAGCTTGTTTCTTAAGTGCATCCATAGAACTGACAAGTGCATCAATCTCAGAGTTCTTTGCTGCCAAAGCCTCAATCATATTTGCCTCAACCTTTGTTACTTCACTCTTAGCTGAAGATAAATCTTTCTGTAGTTGTTTTATGCGATCCTCATAAGATTTACTCAGCTCTCGCTGTCAAGGGGCCAATTTAGTATTAAAACAGTATTCCTTAAACCCCACCCAGAACAAGCATGACTGAACCTTGAAAATATGTCCAAAAGGAGAAACAAGATAGAACGATGCACCTCAGCAATTAGAAGCTCCTCAAGCTGTGTATTCTCAGATTTGTATTCTTGAAGACGGGATGAAAGTCCAGCACAAACCTTTAAGAAAGTGTTCAAATTTTGTTATAAATCCCAAATTGTTTTTAGAGAGAGAGTAGAAAGAGCATAATGTCTAATCCCTAAGCAACTCCTTAGAATAAGACACTTCATCATTTATCATCCTACTGACATATTCCTTATGGTCATATTGTGAACTAATATTTTCCAAAAGTTTCAATATCTCTGGGGAAAAAGAAAACAATAAATTCAGAGAGCTTACCCGAGCCAGTCTTGCCTCTTTTGATTGGCCTGTTGAATTCGTAGTTTTAAGCAGCCCTTGAGCCTGAACAAAAACTAAAGAACTAGTGAATATAATAGCTTTTAAAAGGGAGGCACTCGAGAAGATTCAAGGTCATGAGCTAGAGTCTTTGTCACCTCCTCAAGTTGGTCCTGAGTATCGGCATTTTGTTCTTGTGGCTTCTTCTGATTTGCAAGAGTTTCAACTTTAAAATCATCTTCTTTTAGTCGAGCTTCAATGTTAATAGGAGAACCGGTAACTAAAGGTTGTGATCTCTTTTGATCAGTCTTTGAAGTAACATCTGCATTTTGGTATTCAATATTTTGGCCATCATCAGCTAAATGATCTTCACTAGCAACCTCAATATCTTTGCCAGCTAGTGGTGAAGAAGGGTGCTCCACAAGAATGTTAGAAGCATTATCATTGAGAAGCTTGCCATTTGAAGTAGACAAAGAAGCTTCTGAACTGCCAACAGTTGCAGAGACTTCTTCCCGATCAGCATAATGTTTAACCACATTGGCATCCAATGCCTCAGGTGAAGGAAATCTAGGGTTATCTTTCTCACTGTTTCTATACAGATCACTACTTATTTGGACTGCAGATTTAGCATTGGGCTTTTCCTCATTGTTACATGAAATAGTATAAGGTGTAACATCTGATTCTAATATTTCAGAACTTGTTTCTTCGCATACAGCATCAGTAGTTTTGGGAGATTTAGCTGTAGAAAGTCTTTTTTGAGCCTGCAAAAAAGAAAAATATCCAATTAAATCTGTTTTTATGAACATATTTATTTGGAATGGGTACAATTTAAAACTAATTTGAGGTTGTATATACTTGAAATACCTTTTTCCTTGTTTTTGTCGTTTCTGCTGAAGAACCTTGCACATTAGAATCATTACAATTAAAAACAGGAAGATATATGTGTATGTATATGTGGTTCTATGAGAGAGAGATAGAATGAGAGTAGATAGAGAGTGAGGAAACAGACAATGCGACTCAGAAAAGAAGAAAGTAGATTGTTTTAAAACTTTAATCTCTCCATTGACAGGGGTTCCGCGTAAGTAACACTTTCGATATAAAAAAAGAAGAAATTGCTTGTTCTGAGACACCAAACCACAATTTTCACATTGATTTATGCATGCAAATAACCCCTTGATTTGGAATCCTAACCTTGCAGCTGAGAATCAGATTGCTCTTCTGACAGTTCACTAGCAACCACCTTTGCTCTTCGATCTACAACTTCAAATAAATCTGGAATACAATGGAAATTTACCTTCAATTACTATCAATCATTAAAAAGGAAATGTGAGCGATATTTTTACTGATGGTTGACCAGCATTGCCTATAGTCCAAACATTTTAGAAACAATATCAAGAGCATCAAAATCTACCCCTAATATAGAGTCTAAACATTCATAATATCAAGCTATCTATCAGATGCAGGGCCATAATAAAATGGCAAACAAACCGCATATGTTTTTTACTCATAAATTTCATAACAAGTAACAACCGAAAAGGAAAAAAAAATTATGATAATTTCATCCAGCAATCCTTTTGCCAATACAAGTTTGCTTACACCAACCAAATAATAGTGATTGAACTCCAGCTTAATGTAAATAGGTCCGCCGCATTTGCATTACAGAGTGTAGCCAATACTAAAGCAAAACTATAACCCATTAAACAATCCAAAATCTGATAAAAGCAAAACTAGTAATTCTAAATTTCCTCGAATAATAAACATGCCACAGTACTTCATCGCATTTCTAGATTTAGCTTAACTGTTTTTTCAATATTGACTTCAAACTATGTTAGCCGCCAAACACGAAAAAAGATGTGGATCTCATAAACAATAACTACAATCTTCTAGCTCCTTAGTTTATGCCCAGCTAATCACCAGCAGATACAGGCAATTTCAAAAGTTTCAACAAATAAAAATATATTAAGCAACGTAATCCATTCAAAACTCGCATTTAATCCCCGGAATTATGATTTAATCATTCAAAGCTTTGGATCAGACGTTCAAAATTCAATTAAAATTTTAGAGTCGAAAATTAAAAACAATAAATAAAATGTAGGCTGAATCAAATTGAAAAAGAAGAGTTCACACCTTCGGCAACTTTGAACCACGACGCCATTAGTTATAAATCTGTAAAGAAACTGTGCACTTAGGGATGGATCCACGGAGCGTCCATGCACATGCAAACAATATTATCTGGCGGCAATGGTGCAATTTGGTTAGCAATAATGAAACTGTAACGAACTCGATCTCTGCTTAGATCAAGATCACGGTGGGCTCTTCTTATAAAAAAAATTGAAAATATTATTCAAATTTTTGGATTGCGTTTCAGGTTCCTTGGAAGAAAAAAAATCCTTATATAATTTTTGCCAGCAAATATTAAATTATGAAAAATAAGCATAAATTTTGGTCATTTAATTTTCTTTAACATTTTAATTGAAAAATAAAGGCTGCTGCTATGAATATATGTGTTTTAAATGAATTTATTCAATATTAAGGTGATTATAAAGTAAAATCTATTTTAAATATTTTCATTCATTTGACGACATGTTCAATCACCTTTATTGTTGTTAGTGCTCGAATCTATAACATTTAAAAGTAATAATGATTCCTTGAATCACTGAATTAAGTCGGTTAGTACATTTTTTCTTATTAACTAATGTTCAATAAAATAATAACATTGATGAATTACAATTAAATCAAGTATACGCTAACATGGGCTTGAACCTAGACCACTTTGAATGAGGTTCCAATGCTTAAGTTTTACACATAGCACCTTTCTATGCTTATGTTTCTCTCTTCTTTGTTTTGTTTTTTAATAATTTAGAACGGTTATAATATAATATATGCTTATATATATTTTTTGCATTATTGTTCTAACCCATTTAAAAAAGAAGAATCATTAACATGGGTTCTTCTCTCTTCTTTGTTTTAATGAATCTTCTCTGAATTTTCTGAGTTTTTTCTCTAAAAAGAATAATCTTTTTTAATTTGTTTTTTTTATTAAAATACACATTTAAAAGTATTATGTTAATCACAGAAAACCAAGACAAAATCGCTTTAAAATAATGACTTTTACCATACCATAATAAATCCATTTTATTTTTTTTTACAATTTATTTATTTATTTGCTAGTACAATTAACAAAAGGAGCAAATGATAATAGATTGATTACTTACTCGGTTATATTATTAGTATTTTTCAAGCATGGTTTTGCTTATGGATTGTGATATCTTAGGTAATGGAAATTTTGCAAAAAAAAACACTAGGTTACTAGGTATTGAGTTATTATACCAAAGACTTTTATGTACACACTTGGTGATCGATGGTCGACATTTCTTCTTAATCTCCTCCAGTGGCTTGCTATTCATTCTTCTATACTATTCTTCTCATATTTGATCAACCCAGCCAAAGTCTCCAAACTACAATGCTAACTTGAAACAAACTTTCCCCAAAATTCAGCAAATTGATTCGGGGATGACAAGAACATGAAAACTCAAGTTCGATGAGTAGATGACACGATCTTTAATTTTAGCATGACATGATAGAAATATGATCATTTAGAGTCTCCCCAAGGTACAATAAAACAACATTCCACATACTGAAGAAATAAAGAAAAAAAATCACACCCCGCATACTCAGCAAGATAGATGTCCAAATTAAAGAGCTACGGAGGCATGTGTATGTATTAATGTCCTCTTTCGAAACCGATACGTGATCTACTAGAGCCCCCTTCGTAGCCATCTCGCATGGAAGAGCCTGCGCTAGCTTTCATTGTCCCTCCAGAACCCACTTTATCCATGGCATTCTTGCCCTTCTTGACCTCTGTCAAGAACTGATCGGCTTCTTCAACTTCCCTCTCAAACTCAAGTGGCTTGTCTCTTGGGCCACTCTTCTCAGAAGTGCCAGTAAATACCTTGTCAGGTTTAAATCTCTCGGTTTTCATTAATTTCTCTAACTTCTCATCTGCACCACCGTACATGTCTGAATCCATGTCTTTCTTTGGCTTGTAGAGTGTCGACAGAGTAGGCTGCGCTGTAAATAGACCTTTGTCGTAGATGTTGTATTGATCATCAGTTGCAAATCCAGAATCCATTCCTTTCCCCTGGTTAAATAATCTTTGATCATACATTACTTCACCTCTTCCAGCACCAGTAGAAGCCATACCAAGAGCAACTTTTTCACTAATATCTCTATCCCTATCTCTTGTAATCTTACTCTTTTTACCCAAGGCAGCATCTTTGGCCTCCAGCCTTCTCTCTCTCTCCCTTTCTCTGCGACGCTCCTCGCGTATTTTCTCCCTCTGCAACCGCTCCTCCCTTTCTTCCTTCGATTCCTTCAGAATATCCCTCTCTCTTTCCCTCACTGGCTCATAATCCATTCTTGAATCAATATCCATGGCATTTCTGTCAGATGACATCGAAACAGCAGCTGCTGGTGCTACCGTCCCAATTCTCTCGGAACGAGCTTTAGCAGCTAAAGCTCACAACTCCTGCTCCTTCCTTTCCTTCTCCTTCATCATCATCTCTTTCTGCACCTTTGATCTCATTGCCACAGCTTATCTAGCCTTCTGCTCCGCAACATACAAAGCCTCAGACAGCTTTGCGAAGTTATCATTAATCTGAACCTCCTGTAAACCTCTTCCATCAGCTGCAAGACGCTTATCCAGTGGAATTGTATACCCTTTTGGATTCTTCCAGTTCGAAATACATGGTGGAATTTTCCAATTATCCTCTTATGCTTAAACTTGGGAGGCTCAAGAGGATCAACAGGCATCTCAACCATTCTAATTATCCTCTCTTTAGCACCTGAATTAAATGCAGCCGATTGCCGTGAAGGCTTATACTTAATATACTTAGAATCTGAAGACTGTTTCGGAACATTCTTCGGCTGTGCAGCACTCAATCTCACATTTACAATCTTCTCCAAAGCCGCAACAGTCTCTTGCATCGTTTCCTCAATCTCTTTTTGCATCTCCTCCTCTTCCACACCCTCATCACCACCCTCTTCCTCGTTCCTCAAAATCTTCGGAATCAAATCCTTATGCTGCGAATAAACAATCTTCTTAGCATTCTCATTCTGCCTAACTATTGCATCATAAGCCAAATTCCCGTGAGCATCAACAGTCACCGGAAGAATCTTCTGTCCAGGTTTTGCCCCTTTCGCCCTTCCCATGTCAAGAGGCAATATGAATCTCAGGGAAAGCACCTCCATCTCCAAAGTCTTCAACTTTTCTAGGAATAAATCCATGGCGCTTCAAGTAAGGCGGAACGGGCTTCGCCTTTATGGCCATGGATTTCTCCTCCTCCGACGAAATACAAAACCGTTGTTTAAACCATGGATCGTTTGCGTGATCATAATACGTCGATGTTGCGTTTTTCGCTTCAGGTAAAAGTTCCTTCAAAGCCGCCATGGGGGATCCGAATCTACAAGATTTCTGCCTATCCAATAACCTTATTAAGCGAAACGAAAACCCTAATCTCTCTTAGGTAAACGATTAAATATCCAATAACCCAAAAAAATCAAAGGAAAAACAGGTAACCCTAATTTAAATTTAAATCAAGAAGAAGATAAATATATACCTTGAAAAATACTTGGATGGAGCAGCTAGCAGCGTCGATAGTCGTCTGGTGAAAACGGAATTCGGGTAGGGTTTTGATTGGAGGGTCAAGCTCGAGGGCTGGCCGAAGAGTTAAATTTAGAATTAATACGGTGCGTTTTAATAGCAGGAGGGTTGACCGGCCGAGGAATAACAAACGGGCGGGTCGGGTGCGGATATCCCCTCCCCTATCTCCATACTCACTTAATATTTTCAAATCTACCACCCGCCCACCACTCATGATGGGTAAAAATTTTCAAATTCACACCCGCCCACGCGGGTACATTCTCAAATCTATCCCTACACCTACTACCCACTACCTAACTAGAGACGTACTCGACTAGACCCACCTGACAGCAACATTAAGTTATACATAAACAACAAACATAAAACAAACACGTCCATTAATAAACATAATAAAATAAACCAAGGATTATAAGTTATACAATATTAAGATTTATAAATTAGTATCTAAAATTATACATAAATTCATAAAGGTATAAAATTTAATGGGTATTTAGTGGGCGGGCGGATGTAGGGCGAGTAAGGTCTCAAACCCATCACCCGCCCACTACCCATGATGAGTATCACTTTCTAAATTCACACCCGCTCACTACCCACTAAAGTTATACCCATCCCCGCCCCAATTGGAGCGGGAATGGTGTGGAATCTACGAAATTGTACCTGTTTGCCATCCGTATTGACCGCTTTTATGTTTTGGGTAAACTACCTGTAACATCCCAAAATACGGGTTAGTGACTAAATTGTAAAATTTCAGAGTTTGGTGATTTAAGTAGGATATTTGTACAGTCCAATGATTTGTTCGGAAATATTTCCTGAAAGTTATTAGTAATTATCAAAGGAATTAAAGGGCAAAATGGTCATTTAGCATGAAAGATATTTTTTATCTCTTTATTAAGAGATAAATGTGAGTTGGGGAAAGAGTTTCTGAAAACTCTTTCTTCTTCTTTTCTTCTTCTCCAACGTGCAGGGCAAAGGTAAGGTTTTCTAAATTGTTGGTTATTTGTTAAATTAAAGATTAGGTTTTGATCATTAGATGATAACTAAGCTTAAGGAAAGCTTAAGTTGTCTTATAATCAAAGATGAAGAAGTTATAAGATTAAGAAAATGAGTTTTTATATGAAATCATGGAAAAGAGTTGATAAGTTGAATTTAAAGTTAAATTTGACTTGTCATCATCCTAATTAAGGAATATGAAGTGTTAGAATTGTATTTAGAACATATTGAAATTTGAGTATGATTCTTGAATTTCATATGAAGGATAGGATTTTGAAGTTATAGATGATTTTCATGGATATAAGTTGGTTTAAGTGATGGTAGTTGAATTTAATGACATGATAGGGGTTTTAAATAGAAGAATTAAGTGAAGAATTGATGATTTTCGGGGTTAAAATATCAATTCTGGTTAGAGGGAACCGATACCCTATGAAGGGAATCGATTCCCCCTCTTGGACGAAATTTTTCCAGAATGTCCAGGGGGTATCGATTCCCCTGGGGGGGGAATCGATTCCCCCCTAAAGGAAAAAATGAAATTAGGTTCAATAATCTGGCTTAAGTTGTTAACATCAAGTTTAAGGTTTAGGCTTCTGATAGTTGTTTTGAAATGTTATATTTATGTAGATATTGAGCCTAAACAAGTTCTGGAATAATCAAAGGATTAGAATTGATTCAAATCAAACAAGGCTAAGGTGAGTGCAATTTTTATTGTACTTATATTATTGAACGAACATTGACTTGCGATGAGCCAGTGATGGAGTTACTACGGTAAGAAGTGACTCCTAAATTGTTATTTGATTTCATGATTTTTATATGTGCATGAATACATGAAATGTGTATAGATTATTATAAATGTTACATGATATACATGCATACATGATTATGCTATGAGACATGACCATGTGAAATGAGAAAAACTATGTGAATATATGAAATGACATATGAATATGCAAAATGTGATACATGTGATATGATATGAAATACATGGTTACAAATACATGTGGTATGTGACAGAAGAGAAAGAACAAGTGATGAGAAATGTATTCATCATAAATGCCCATAGTATATATGATACGAGAGCTATAGGTATAGTTGGCATGCCAAGAGTCGAGGGTTCTGTAGTCCTTCGGGACGTAGTGGTCCTACGGGACATATATAGCAGTCCTTCGGGACGAATACTGAACTAATGTTCGGTGCCCCATGAGGGAATTTATACAAGCTGTGGTGACAGCATTTTGTGCACAACCTCAATGAACTCACATACCTCTATTCTCAATAATATACATGGGCAATACAATTGAAAGATAAATTAAAGTGAAAGTGGCACAAGAAGGTAAGTGTTACATGTGCTTGACATGCTTATATATGTTATCATGTGATAGATACATGCATGTTGAAATGTCATGATCAAATGATAAGAATGCACATTCATGAATTTGTTGTTAAATGTTTATTTATTGTCTCACTAAGTCTATGACTTAGCGTGTAAGTGATTTACACGTAGGTACCAAGAAACGTGAAGAGCAAGAATAGAAGTAGCAAGGACATTATTATTACTTGAAGATCAGATCAGAAGTAATCAACAAGTATGTATTTTGGCGTGTATAGAGTGTTGGCATGTAATAAGTCGTTAATTATGAATACTCTGATCAAACTTGTATTTTGTGGTCTCTCTGATGTAAATTAAAGTATTTTGTTTTAAACAAAGTTTTAAATTCCCCGGTGTATTTTCTTTAAGTGTCCAGATTTGAAAAGTCAATGTGACACCTCGGACTCGTATTCAGGTCGGGTACGGGTTGGGGTGTTACACTACCTATTTCGTATCTCACTTATTCTCATACTTTTGTTCTGGTCACCTGATTATTTTTATTTTCAAAACTTTACTTAATATTACATTTTGTTTCTATTTTAATACGTTCCGTTTAGTTTAATCCTTTTCTAAACTCCTTCAATTTTGAAAAAATCATAACTGATCCTTTAAATTTTTAAAAAGATAAAAATTTAATTATGAATTGGAGAAAGCTTAGGCGAAGACGTGGGGTTTTTTCCCAAGATCAAAAATCTCCAAGGATTGGTAGTCGCCCAGACCGGGTGGGAGTTTGCTTTCACTTGATTTACTTTCACTTGATTTACTTTCATTTCTAAATGAATTTTAAAAGCTTGAAAATATAGCCATCAACAACAACCGCAACAACAAAAAACCTGTTAAGAAATACATCTCTCTCCTCAACCCAAATATTTTAAGAAATTTTTATCCAGCGAACAATCAACAACAATAAAATAACATTGACGATAGAAACTTTCAAGGATCTGATCATTTTCTTGAAAATTAACAATAGCATCTAAAGCTCAACAAATGCATTACACACTTAAGAATATTTTTAGGCAAGAACTGAGATTGCTTGCAAAGGTTTAGCCTTTTTAAGTGTTAGCCCAAACTTCTCGTTTATGTTTAATTCATTTGGCGATATCTCACCTTCAAGTTTCCAATCAAAGCAGTTTAGAAGAGACCCCAATATCAAACGCAACATTCGATTTGCTAAAGGTAATCCTGGACATATTCGTTGTCCAGCACCGAATGGAATGAATCTAAATTTGTACCTTTGACATCGATTTTAGACCCAAAATATCTCTCGGTATGAAACTATTCGGGTTCTCCCAAATCCTTGGATCTCTACCGATGGCCCATACGTTAACAAGCAATTGTGAATCCATCGGAACTTTGAAACCACTAATGTCAGCATCAGATTCGGCTCTGCGCGGAACTAACAATGGGGCAGGAGGGTACATCCGAAAGACTTCTTTGATGATTGCTTGCAAATATGGCAAATGATCTATGTCGGATTCCTCGATCGGATTTCCTTTTCCGAATGTTTGCTTCAATTCCTTTTTGGCTGTAAATAAAACCTGCGGGTTTCGAAGCAATTCTGTCATTGCCCATTCTATTGTGTTTGATGTTGCATCAGTTCCAGCGACGAATAAAACCTATAGTCAACGTTCTATGATCCGATCATTTATAAAGTAAAAATTAGAGAAAGATAAGAAATTTACCAAAAGCAAATGTATGACTTGAGTTCTATTAACCTCCTTGAGACCGTCTTCTACAATATTAATAGGAGTGTCCAAAACATCATTTGACGCTGTAGAATCCTTGGATTTTCTTGATTCCATTCTTTCATCGAACATGTTGTCGAAAAGAACAAGCAGCTTCTCCAAATAAATGGTCATCCGGGCCGTACACCTTGTGGGTCAAACTCTACCGAATATCCGGTTATTTGGATGGAGACTTGCTCATGAGGCTTTACCTACTGGACGTTGATTATCTCTCGCAGGGTCACGCCATTTGTGATTGTGGGAGGCTCGATTCATTCTCACTGATGCAGGATTCTCCCAACACGTTACACATGCTCACGCGGCTTCTTGTGGAGAATGGTTGGCAGAGATGAGTGTTTCTTTACCCTGTGATCAGTTTACAGACTTGCTTGTTTTACTTTATCATCTTAGGATGCGTCGCAATACATTTGTGCATGAAGGCAAACGTTTACCAGGGTGGCATATTGTGGTTTCAGGTCGGGCAATGCAACCTTCTTATATGCATGCTGCTTCTTTGCTTGATTCCCATGACTCTCATACTATCTTCACATCTTTGTCAAAGCCTGTTGCTGGTATTACCAAGATAAATGTTGATGGTGCATTCTGTTCGACCACTCATTCCTCGACAGTGGGTCTGGTAGCTCGTGATCGTTTTGGTTCTGTCATTGCTGCTCATGCGGTTCCTTTGGAGTCCTTGACTGATTCAAGCCATGTTGAAGCAGCAGCCATCACACAGGGTCTCCTTCTAGCTTTGGAGTTGAATTGTTCGCGAGTGATCGTTGAGAGTGATGCTGCCAATGTTGTTTCGCAGCTTTTATTCGATGGGATTGACCTTTTTGTGCTGCAATTTCATTTATCTGACGCTCGCTCTCTTTTCCCTGCTAATCCTCATATAGTGGTTCGCCATGTTCGTTGATCAGCCAATGTTGTTGCTCACACTCCTGCGACTTTTGCTTTAATTTCTGCTTCGCCTATTTTTATTTATTATGACTGTCCTACTATTATTACAGACGTAGTTGTGAATGATGTTCTTTCACTTTAATGAAATCGTTTTCCTCTTTAAAAATATATATAATATTAAATTAGTCTTCAATGTTTGTCCGAATAATTGTTTTGATTTTTATTTTTTTAATATTTTAACCTCCAACATTTTAATTTTTAGTCAGAATGATGTGGTATTTACACGCGCATTAAATTATTGACGTATTATTTAACTAATGATTTCTATCTAACAAGGGTTATGTTGACCAAGAATTAAAACCTTAGAAGTTAAAATGCTCTAGATAAAAAATAATGACCCAATAACAATTCATGTAAATGTTATGACTAATTTTAGCATTACATCTTTATTAAACTATTAAAATTTCTAAACAACAACGGGGATTGCTAGTAAAGGTTTTGCCATTTTAACAGTGAGTCCAGATTTCTCTTCCATGTTGGTATTATTCGACGAGATTCCATCTCCAAGTTTCCAATCAAAATAGTTTACAAGAGACCCTAAAATCAAATGCAACATTCTGTTTGCCAAAGGTAACCCTGGGCATATTCGTCGTCCACCACCAAATGGAATGAGCCCGAAATCCGTACCTTTGACATCAATTTTAGACCCTAAGAATCTTTCAGGCATGAAATCATCTGGATTTTCCCAAATGCTTGGATCTCTACCGATAGCCCATGCGTTGACCAACACTTGCGAACCTTTGAAACCACAAAGGTCGACATCAGACCTAGCTTTATGCGGGACCAACAGTGGGACAGTAGGGTGCATCCGAAAGACTTCTTTGATGATTGCTTGCAAATATGGTAAAAGATTTATGTCGGATTCTTCGATTGGATTCCTTTGCCAATTGTGTGTTCTAGTTCCTCTTTCGCTTTAAGTAAAACTTGAGGGTTTCGAAGTAATTCTGCCATTGCCCACTCCGTTGTATTTGATGTTGTATCACTTCCAGCCACAAATAATATCTATCATGTAAAATGTTATAATTTGACAATATGGAAAAATATCTTATAATCCAATTATGTCAAATTGAATATTCCATCATTTTAGACATTTGCATCATAAAGTCCCTTAGATATAATAGTCTTGTACAACATCAGATTCAAATACACCCCTTCATGCAACAGACATACACACCACATGAACATGAGAGGAAGCAGGCCCATAGGTGCAGAAGGCACACACACAATCAACAGTAAAGCACCTGTGCTGGTAGGGATAGGCATGGGACCAAAACCCGACGTGTTTGACCCGACCCGATCAGGTTGGGTTTTTTAAAAAAAAAATCGGGTTTGTGTTGGATTCGGGTTTAGGGTGAAAAATACCCGATCCGAAAAAAATATAATTTTATCTTATATATTTAGGAATAATTACAATAATATCTCTCTATATATTATTTTTTAAAATTAAATAACTATTTTATTGAATAAAAATAATATTTTTATTATTATTTCGGGTCGATCGGATCAGGTTCAGATTTTATCTTAAAAAGTCGTATCGGGTGGAGAGTATATATTTTTCTGGTCGGTTGGCAAACCCGACCTATGCCCATCCCTATGTGCGGGTGCTTCACATAGCATGGACAACAAACATGCTCATAAATAATAATATTTTTAATGATTGAAATCATAAATAACGTGACAATAAAGATTCATATAACAATTTTTTATTTTATGTTATCTGTATATATATGACATCTAAGAACATCGGATATAATATCATAAAAATTAAGATCAAAAGTAGAGGAAGGTTATAAAAATATTACCAAAATCAGATGTATGACTTGTGTTCTATTAAGCTGCTCGATACCGTCTTCTACAATATCAATAAGAGTGTCCAAAACATCATTTGACGCAGTAGAACCCTTGGATTTTCTTGATTCCAATCTTTCATCGAACATATTACCGAAAAGAACAAGCTGCTTCTCGAAATAAACTGTCATCCGACGCCGTAGACCTTGTGGGTCAAACTTTCTAAGCAAAGGGATATAGTCAGCTAAATTAGGTACCCATGCCTCATGATTAATCGTAGCATGAAATGAGTTCGGGTCAACCAAATCCATAGAAAAAATGCTGTTCGACAGCAAGTTAATCGTAGCATCAAAAGCAGCTTGGCCTATGTTAATGGCTTCACCTTTAAGGCAGCTTTTGCGAACATTGCCGATCAGTTCTTGAATCTTCTCTCGACGGAGGTATTGGTTGGCATCCAGTTTCAGATTAGAGAAGAGATGGATAACACAGACCTTGCGAAGAGTTCTCCAAAGTGGCGAAACGGGCATAAACGACAGTCCGAAATCAATAAATTGGCAGGCTCGGAGAGCATCGGGAACGGTTCGGTTACAGAACACAAGGTCCTGTTGTTTCAGGACCTCTTTAGCCGTTGTTTCCGATGAGACGACAACGGTGAATAAGCTGCCAAGTTGGAGACTCATAACGGGGCCATGAATCTGAGCAAGCTTAGCCAATGACCTGTGGGGGTTATCCCCGAGATCCAAGAGATTGCCGAGGATTGGCAGCCGCCGTGGACCGGGGGGAGGTTGCTTTCACTTGATTTACGTCCTTTTCTAAATGACTTCAGAGCTCGAACAAGTAACCAGGCCGTCAACAGCAAACATAGCAAGGAACTTGTTAAGAAATCCATCTTACTCTACGACACGAGATTAAACTGCGGTCGTAGTTTTATAGCCATGTGGCGTGATATGTTAAAACAAGTCTTATCTGTCATTTGGACCTACAGAACGTGAATTAATTATTGGGCTCACTCCATTAAATACCTTGGGAAATAAAAAATAATAAATTTCAGATAAATTTGAACCGTTTAAATTATAATGAAAATTTAAGTCAAATGATACTTCGGTCTTTCAAAATTATATATATATATATATATATATATATATATCCTATTGCCATTATAATAATATCCCAACTACCACTGATTGTTCTTTTGCAAGCATTAATTTTTTTTATTCAAAGCTAATACACATACGAACAGATGTTTTACACTATTCCATTATGCAGCAAACAAATCACTTTCGTAGTTTTATAAAAAAAATAGTTATAGGCATATTTACTCTTTCAAAAATTAGATTTATCTCTTAGTTTTCTTTCCATTGATAAGTCGTTCATTCCTTTTTTTTCTATCTTTATTGATGGCAGTACCAATTTAATGTTGGTTGTCGACTGTTGAGTGTGTATTGACTGTTGTTGTATACACGTGGAGATGTGGTTCAGTTAAGTTGTTAAGTAATTAAAGTTGCAGTTAGGGTTGTTAGTTGAATAGTTCACTTCTGCATGAAATGTATATAAAGTGTTGTTGTATCAAGTTCTTGAATATATGAAGCAGTTATATTTTCTTCACTATTCTCTGTAAGTTCTTACTTTAACTAGATGGTATCATTTGCTACTTTCCTGGGGTTCCTTTTCCGAATCTTTTGCTGCATAACTCTCTTCTTGTTATGGCTCAAAGTCTGGAGTCTGCTGCTGTGTCGTTGGAATTTTCCTCAAGAAACGCCAAAAGTCTTCACCAATAAAAGAGTAAATGTCGTTCTTGATGAGATGAATTTCATATTATGGAAGCAGCAAGTTTTGCTTATGGTCAGAAGACATCGGTTGGAGCGGATGCTGACTGGTACAATGCTGCCACCACCAGAAACTGTTATCAGTGATGATGGTGTTGTGATTCTGAATGATGAATATGAGGAGTTCGTTGCACAAGACAATGCACTCGCATCTTGGCTTTTATCGACGGTAAGTGCTCACTTACTGCTACATTTTGTTGAGGCCGAAACTGCTGCCAATGTTTGGAGTCAAGTGCTTCAATTTTTTGCAAATCGATCTGCGACTGCCGTGATGAGCTTACATTATATGCTCCAGCCTCTCAAGAAAGGGGAGGATATCATGAGGGTTTATCTTACCCGTGTGAAAGAAGTTTGTGATGCCTTGGCATTGTGCGAAAGTCTCATTCCTTCTACTGGGCATGTTGAGATTATTCTCAAAGGGCTTTCAAAATAATACCAATTGTTTATTGTTATTATCTCTGCCATGCGTGAGTCTCTTTCTGTTGATGATGTTTGTACCATGCTCATTGATGCTGAGAGCCAGATTATGGGTTTGAAGCTCAAACTGAGTCTCTTCTTATG